TTAGAACATTGATATAGCAGGGAAACACGATTTGCTTTTCGCTAAGTAAATATATTGTTTATCAATGGAGTCCTCTGAGTACCTGTATGTGTGCCCCACCGGTTAGCTAAAAGCCGGCGATCTGCACTGCGCTCATATGAAGGTTACCGCTACTGCTGTTGCTGCGGCAACTCAAACACTGTATCAGCTCTGGAAGGAGGCTGATTAGAGCGGCTTAAATTCGCTACACAAGTCACAATAACTCTCCAAGGATCTGACTGTAAAAGAGTCCGGGGTATTCACATATATTCTTGATGAAGTCAGACTGATTGCCAATAGTTTCCCTTTACTGATTTGAGTCACAATGTGATTTGCCTGATAAGATAGCTAAATACATTTTATTTTGATTCTTGCTTTACAACTTTGCCGAAGAGATAAATCCGCCAAATATTTATAAACTAGAAAAGCGATTTCCTTAGGCCTAGTTAAGCTTCCCATATAAGTAAATGTTCTTCTACCCACTATAGCAGTAGATTTTCTATTTCTGTATAGTTGGAAAGATAAATGGCGGATGGGTTCTCCTTGAAGGTTAACTCGTCCATAATTGCATTTATATTTTGCATGGTTTTAATAACCTGGTGCTACATGTTCTCTGCATAAGTATGAAACATATTACACAATTAAATTTGAATGTTCAAAGCCTTTTGAATTATTACAATATTACTTTATTATACTGGAGGTTATATAGTCACATTGGATGGCCTTCAGACTGGCCTAATGAATTATTTGTTCTTTCTGACCCATTGCAGACGATAGCAATATAAATCAATTAGGTGAGACAGAGAGTGCGAGAGTGACCAGGCCAGTATTGATGCAGAGGAGAAAGACAAGGACACTGGACAATGGGGACTTCAAATCAAGGATGAAAAAATAATGAGGGGAAGAAAGATACAGTACCTGAACACGATGAATAACCCTGAGGGAGTGAAACCTGGATGTTGATACATAAAGAAATGTAACTTATTAAAATGAAGGTAAATATTAGGATCAGTGTAAGCAAATGTTACCATCAGGAGGCAACACAAGCATTTTTTGAGCAACAAACTACCAATATTTCAATCAGAAGAAGTAATGCTTAAAATAACCGACTAAAACAATCTCACATTAAGGTGGATTTAGTAGCATTTCTGGTGCTTCTTTTTATATTACATGATAATCATCAGCATAGTACAGTTATCACTTGGTAATATTGATGAGGACTGGCTTTAAAACCCTTTAACTGCCAGCACCACCATTTGGTAGAGCACATTTTGCGTCTTGATATCTTGTTGAAAAAAAAAAAAAAAAGTGTAACTCCATCTGATTCAGCCAGCTCTACCCTTTGGTTGACATGTTATACACAAAACAACCTCTAGATGTCACTGTGGTTCAAACAGAATGCCCTTCAGCTAGCTTCAACTGAGAAAGTTGGCAATGCTAAAAATCACTGCTGAAGAAATCACTCTTTTTGGTCAACTTTTGTAAGGTAACCATATCCTTTTTGACATATTTTAGTGGCAGGGCACTGACTGAACATAATTAGATAACTTGATGCACAAAAAAAGTTTTAACAAGGGTGTAATTATTTTTTTGAAAGTATGCTCAACCAATCGGTCGAATTGGCCTTTTATGGTAAGCTAGCAATACA